TTTGGACTAAAATTGTAATTCTCACATTAATAAATAACCCTGAGAGAATACTGCACATAATTGTATATTAAAAATGGTAAAATAGCATGTAACACAAGATAGTGAAAACACCTGCCAGTACTTGTATTTTACTATCCTTTATTTTCCAGAGTTCTTAGAACATATATAGCCATGTAGAAGAAGACACATACAGACAGTAGGATTTTCTGGATAATGTAAGGCTTAATAATATATTATAAATAATATCTAGATCCACATTTACACTTAGCAGAGCAAATAGCCTTGCTCAGGTATTAATATGATTAGACACAAAACATGCACTGCCAGCAACGTTTCTCTCTGTTCCCTGAGCAATCCCAGAAGCAGAAGTAGCCCAAATAAAGACAGTATAATATAGTACAATTGTACAATTTTTTAAGCAACAGTGAAAAATAAATTGCAGCTTACATTATCCCATTGTGAAAGCCATTACACTGCAAATCTTACAATGTGAACTTATTTAAAAGGCTGTGGAGTTTTTGGAGTATATAACATTTTTCTCTAGCGTCCCAGTGAATCCCCTTCTCTCACGTCTCATGTTTGGCTTCATTTGAGTGTAACCTCAATTGCCAAATATCCACTTCCGATACTTTCACTATTATTCATTCAAAGTTCTTTCACCATATATTGTTGATATGTTAAAAACTATTAAATTGTCTCCAGGAGCCCAAGATTGCATTCTATTTGCTTAATCCATGCTCCACTGGTATGTATATTTTATGTTGCATGATATCTTTAAAGAAACACTATAGGGTAAGGAACAGGGGCAGAGCAAGCACAAGCCAAACACAGCCCTGACCAATTAGCGTCTTCTCATAGAAATGCATTGAATCAATGCATCTCTATGCGGAAAGCTCTTAGTCTCTATGTAGAGGGTGGAGACACTGAATGGCAGTGCTACACAGTGTACAGCACTGCCCCAGGAAGCACCTCTAGTCGCCATCTGAGGAGTGAGAAGTGGCCATTGGAGGTATCCCTAGACTGTAATGTAAACACTGCCTTTTCTCTGAAAAGACTGTGTTTACTGCAAAAAGCCTGAAGGGAATGATTATACTCCTCAGAACCAATACAATAAACTGTGTGACTATAGTATCCCTTTAAGTTGGTGTTAGTGAAAGTGTTAAAATAACATATAGATTAATGGCTAGTGTTAAGGTAACTTAGGGGTTAATGTTTAGTATTAGTGTAGTGTAGAGGTTAAAAGAACAATATAGAGTTAGAAATACAAAACTGTATTCCTAACACAGTGAGTCGGTGTAGCCTTCCCTATAGTTTCCCTTTCCCTCCCCCCTCAGTATATGAAAGGTTAAAAACCCTTTTTACCCTTACCTCTTTCCAGTGCTGAGATTCCTCTGCATGGTGGCTGTATCCTCCTCCAGCGACATCACACCCACGGAGGAACCTTCATGGGCACTGCACCCAGACCACTTCAATAAAATGAAGTGGTCTGTGTTCCTATGTGTCCCTTTAATATTTAGTGTAGTGCAGTGTGTTAGATCATGCAATTGAAATTACAAACCTGTACAAAAAAACTCCATATATCATATATAACATGTTGTTTATCCATTTAGTAAATTCTGGTCTCTTCATATATAAAAACATACCCAATATTAATACATGATTTTCATTTTAAAGTTAATAACTGAAACCTTCAGAAAAGCACATTTAAGAGTTTAGCTTAGTGCTGACATAATCTAGTACTTAACCCTTTAAAGCAGGACTCCCAAAATCCGGCTCTCCAGATGTTGCTGAACTACAACTCCCATGATTCTCAGCCTATCTATTTCATTCATAGAATCATGGGAGTTGTAGTTTAACAACATCTGGAGGGCCGGAGTTTAGGGAAGCCTGATTTAAAGGAACCTATGCTGTGTCATATTCTTGCATAAAACCTTCACTTATCCTTGCCATTGGCCACCAAGCCTCACTCAACTTGTTATGCTGACATTCTTGCTTATAATATGTATTTTATGACCATTTACCAAAAAACTGACATTTTGGTTTAGATGCTTTGCAACAGACGTAATCTCGTAATTTACATCTTGTAAAGGCGAGTGGATGCAATGCTATTTCTTGCACAATAGGGGTACTGATGGACTGATCCAGTTTTTATTGAACACATGTATATCCATAATAGTGTCTTTGTAATGCTTTAACATCAGAGTTGGATTTCCCATCACATAAAATAGGCAAGAGCCAAAGGACACTTGGCTGGCAGCCACTGTGTTTTAATGTCTAAATTTAAATACATTTCTGGGAAAGTGCCCAGTCTTTGCTGTGTGAGGTTTCCACTAGAAATGTTCAAGGAGTCCAAATGACCCAAAAGCAAAGGGAATATGAGCCTCCAAGGGTGAACTAGTCAAAGCACAGATAAAGTTCACATTTCTTGAAAGAAAATCACATGGGATCCTCAAAGCACAGATAAAGTCCAGGTTTGTAAAATAAAAACACTTGCATGAAGGTCCAGACACCCATTGAATGTTGTGTTAAAAGACACCTGGTCCAAGTTTTTCATGCATACCAGTACTCAGCAATACATTGTGAACCGGTGTATATTAATGGTTATTTGGTTGTCATGCCCATATTTTAATGAAGTAGTGCAATATAATTAAGATTTTATTACAGGAGTTGTTAATAGTAGTATAAAAATAAACAATGTTCTCTATATAAATATATTGTTCCACATAGGTTAAATCAATTAAGTATATACTGTTGAATAAATGCATTTGGGGAGACAAATCATATTATTTAAAAAAAATCAAAATTAGTTTATTATATATATTTATATAATGTTTATTTTTCTATCATGTTTAATAGGGAATAATAGTTTATTTAGGTTGATATTTGACAATGACAACTGTGGTTGATCTTTACTACATGATTGCAATCACCTATCAATGATTGAATTGTCCACATTTCATCCAAATCTGACAATGGTACAAGTGTATCAAAATGTCACCAGGTCCTTTTTGCAATGTGCATATTTAGTATAAAAATCTTCACTTTATAACTTAGATATAGAAGAACGTGATTTAAAACAGGGCCAGACTGGCCCACCGTGATACGGGGAAATTTCCCGGTGGGCCACAGCACTTGGGCCCGGGGAGAAAGCCCCAATACCTATAGTAATATCATTTGGAAATTTTCAAAATTTTCTGGAGGGAGGAGCTTGGGGCCGGTGTGGCCACATTGAGTATGGGGCGGCCGGAGGGACCACTGTAGGGAGAGAGCTTTCTGACACTCAAGCTCCGTCCCTGATCGCAAGCCCCGTCTATCGATCGCACGCTCCGCCCCATCTCAAGCTGCTGACCTCAGGGCAGGAAATGGAGTTCTCACCTCCCAGGGCTTTCACAGCAGCCTACAGTGCCAGGTAGGTTTCAAATATACTGCAGTTAGTGAGTGAGAGTGATCTTGTGTGCGTGTGTGTGTATATGTGTGTGTGCCTGCCGTTGTGAGCATGAGTGTGTCAGTGAGCATGTCTGCAGTGAGCATGTATGTGTGTCAGTGAGCACATCTGTATTAAGCATGTATGTGTGTGTCCGTGATCATGTCTGCAGTGAGCATGTAAGTGTCTGTAAGTGAGCATGTCTGCATTGAGCATGTATGTGTGTGTCAGTGAGCAGGTCTGTAGTAGCATGTATGTGTCTGTCAGTGAGCATGTCTGTAGTAAGCATGTATGTGTGTCAGTGAGCATGTCTGTATTAAGCATGTATGTGTGTGTCAGTGAGAACGTCTGTATTAAGCATGTATGTGTGTGTCCGTGAGTCTGTAGTAAGCATGTATGTGTGTCAGTGAGCATGTCTGTATTAAGCATGTATGTGTGTGTCAGTGAGCACGTCTGTATTAAGCATGTATGTGTGTGTCCATGATCATGTCTGCAGTGAGCATGTATGTGTGTGTCAGTGAGCATGTCTGCATTGAGCATGTATGTGTGTGTCAGTGAGCATGTCTGTAGTGAGCATGTATGTGTCTGTCAGTGAGCATGTCTGTAGTAAGCATGTATATGTGTGTCAGTGAGCATGTCTGCAGTGAACATGTATGTATGTGTCAGTGAGCATATATGTAGTAAGCATGTATGTGTGTGAGCATGTATGTGTGTGTCAGTGAGCATGTCTGTAGTGAGCATGTATGTGTGTCAGTGAGCATGTCTGTGTGTTAGTGAGCATGTCTGCAGTTAGTATGTATGTGTGTGTCAGTGAGCATGTCTGTAGTGAGCATCTTTGTGTATAGCAGTGAGTTTGTCTGTAGTAAGCTTGTGTGTGTGTCAGAGAGTTTTTACTAAGTTTGTGTGTACCTGTAAGCTTGTCTGTGTTTGTCAATGAGCTTGTGTGTGTCAGTGAAATTGCCTATCTGTAAGCCTGGGTACCAGTGAACGTGTGTGCTTGTATCAATGAGATTGTCTGCCCTCCCATCATACAAATAATACAAACAGCTCACACACAAACACACACACAGTCTACACAAACACAACACCACCAACAATCCACATACATGCACACAACCCCACATGCAATACCCCAAACAGCCCCACCAAATACACAATGTGACATATCCATCCACACACACAATTCCACAAGCCCCATACACAGCCCAAATTCATAGGTATTATACATGATACCACAAACTATTCATGAACATATACAAAATAATAGCTCATATACGCACAAATACAACGATACAAAAAACTGCAGTATAAATAGCACAAGCAGAATATGGCAACATGCACACCTCAATTTAAAGAAATAGGACCGGCATGCTACGGGACATCACAATCTTATTTCGGCACAGTGCTGCTAAAAGGTTGCCTACCCCTGTCCTATAGTGATAATGTTACATTTAAAATATGGCTTTGTCTTGCTACCACAGACTGAGTAATTTTAATTCATAAACATAGATTGTATGTATATATATATATATATATATATATATATATATATATATAAAATCTATGGAAAAAAATGTATGCCAGCCCTCTAAGCCATTATACCTGGTAGTGTTTGTGTGTATATATATATATATATATATATATATATATATATATATATACATATATAAATACGCACAAACACTATCATGGCATAATGGCTTAGAGGGCTGGCATGCATTTTTTTTCCAGGGCCGCTTTGCATTCCCAGTCCGGCACTGATTTAGAACCACATAATGAATAGGGAACTACTGTAAATTCAAAATGTAATTTTGGCCACAAAATTTGGAAATGAATCAGACTTACTAAAAGGGTGCAAAAATGGACAAAATATATGCAGTACACCAATAAAACATTTTTCCATCATTTGGTTCACAGAGGAGCATTAAAATAGCTATATTTATATTTTATATTATTATATATTGTAGATATTTTTTACCGCTCCTCCTTTTTTAAAAACTCTTTATTTAAAGCACAGGCAGTGGTACAATACGGTATCACAATGCCAGCAGTTGAAAATACAATATATCTTACTGCAGTCCCAGTTTCCATTTTAGATTCCCCCTTGTGATGATGTCAGAGGAGGCTGAGACAGACCAGGGACCTCGGTGCTGGAATAAGGTAAGTGAAAAGGGGGGTTGTTATCCTTTAATCACTGTGGTGGGTGGAATGCAGGAGCAGAAGAACATAATAGTGTGAGGAATACAGTTTTGCATTCCTAACACTATAGTGTTCCATTAAACTCTTCCGTATACATGGCCATGTAATTAAGCATGGCATTAAAAGGAATACTAATTATTATTGTTATTATTTAGTTAGATATTTTTCTTTTACATTTACATTACTGCTCCCTCAAAAACACTCCCCACTCCTCAGAATTTAGGAAGTGATCAATCCTGATGACATTTGTCCAAACAGATGCCTCTCATAAAGAAGCATTGGGGACAAAAAGTGCATGTGCATCAATCCCCACAATCTACCAATCTAAGCCTTCTAATAGAAACTCATTGAACCCAATGCTCTAGGTGAGAAGCATCTGCTGCATTTAACTTTATCATGTATTGCCAAATGTGAAGACCTTTTAAGGAAGGATTTAAGAGGAATTGGCTCTTGTGGCAGTTTGTGGCCTTTCGGTTAGAAATCACATAAATGAAATTAGAAATGCTACGAAAAGAGATTCTTGTTTTTAATGGCACGTTTCCTTTACCATTTCTTCTCAACAGTCCATCTTAGCCCTTTTTCTCTCATTTAATTACTTACTTTCCTATTTTCTCTCCTTCCCATAGTGATCCCATTGTCATAAAATCTCATTGTCTGTCTCCCCAGTTCCAAATCTTAATTCTATTCACTGATTTTTTTTGTTTCGTTTTGTTTTGTGGTCCCCCCCCCCCCTTATTTTAGTTTTGCATATGTTTGGATTTTACTTTGTTATATTATATATATTTTTATGTTTCCCTCTGGTGTATCACTTTTTTTCACAATAAATAAGCACCCAGAAGCAAGGTTCCTGTTTATTATATGAGTGAGGTTAACTAATTTTTTCTCCTGTGCCAAATCTTAATATAGCCGTAATCAATTCTAAAATTCAAAGTGTTCTTAAAATTCTATAATAAATGTAAACTAAATAAATAAACAGAAGTTAAATAATATCTCACCTACCTAAAGCCCCACAGTGTCGTTAAATAGCTGTCGAAAGCTGTGGCTATTACAAGCTGTAGCTAGTAGCAGATCCTAATTACCAACCATATTACCATTGTTTTCGCAATATTATTTCACCTGGCGACTGATAAGGTCTGTTCACAAAAACACCAATCACTCATAGAGTTTTTGGTTTGCTGGTAAAGCATAGAAACACATACTGCCTAAGTTGTAACCATAGCAACCACATCTTGCTGGTATAAAGGCTCACCCTGAGCATACATTATACACCTTGTGATTGGCCTTAGCTGGAGACAGCAACACTGTATACAATGTATTAAACTGTGATTTTGTGTTATACCTGTGATTTTTTTTTTTTTTTTAAGCAAATTTCTATGTGGGTTGTTCATTTAAAGTACACATGTGCTCTACTTTCAATAAAATAATGTTATACATCATGATTCTAATTTTATGGCTGTTTGATATAGTTTAATTTGATTAGATATGTGCTTTAAAATTGCAATGTAATGCCATATAGCTAACATGTATATTTGTCCTACAGAATGCATTTATAGAGAGTTAGCTGCTATTATCTTATTTTTGTACCAGACAAGAGACTTGTTTTTTAGTTTGTTTGTTTTCTGGGGGTGGCAGCTGTCAAATAGTATTGACAGGGTTGGAAGCCATTCGGAAACCAGTTGCTAGGCAGTGGTTAGCAGCTTCCTTGATGAATAATGAGAACAATTAGTCGCTACTTAGTGACTGGTTTTAATTAGGTGCAGCTGTTAAGTCCACGTTGCTGCTGGTGAACTCTTACAGTTAGTAAACAGTGGCTGCTCACTAACAGTTGGTACAAGCACTTTGTCGAGTAGTGACTGTCTGATGAAAAATAGAGCCAACATCAAGTCTATAGTGTTTCAGGACATGTATTCCTAACTCTATATTGTTATACTAGTAGTTAAAATTATTGGGCATTCCAGACCTTAGAATCAAAAACCTTTCGGTTACCTTTACTCTCTTGCCACGTTGGTCTCCTTGCTGCTGCCCCACCTCCCTGGCTGGTATCAATCATAATGAGCTCAGCCAATTCAATGCTTCCCCATACAGAAACATTGGGCGTGAGTGTGCATGCATGATAAACTCCTTGTGTCAATCAGTATCTCCTCATAGAGATGCATTGAGTAAAAAGCGTGGAGATGCTCAATGCAGATTATGCCATCTTTTTTCAAGACTGAACTCTTCAGTGGCTGTCAGAGTGACACCCACAAGAGGTAGCATTAGGCATCAGTGTAAACCTTGCTTTTTTTCCAGAAAAGGTAGAGTTTACACTACTGAGGCTGCAGATACAGTCTCTCTGGCCTAAAACCACAATATGGAGTTGTAATGGTTTTGGTGCCTATATTGTCCCTTTAAGAATTAGAAGGCAAAACATATGTTCTAGTGGCCATTAATGATTAAAATAAGATAGGCATCCTTTGGTACAGCAGACTGTAGATTAGGTACTAATGCTACCTATGCCAGGTTACATTAGTTTTGCTGCTGGAATATTATGAACAATATATGACAATGATATTATAGTAATATAATTCAGACTACATAAATGTAAGCAATGTCAGACATGACCATACATTTACATCTATAAAACAGCATCTTCAGTATTAATTTATATCAATCAGTAAAGGCTACCTCTGGCACTGAAAAATGTTTTTGGACTACTTTTCCCATGATGGTCAGGTAGCCTCTTGGCTGGCTGTGAATCAAATTAATTTTCCCTTAAATTAAAAAATGAAGATAGGTAGTTTATACTGGCCTTTCAAAAGTTTTTTAAACACGTTTCTCAGATTGTTCTTTAACTATGAGAAACTTCATAAAAGGTTAAAAACTGTATAAATATTCCAGAAATACTTAACAAATAAATGAATACACAAAGTAACAACATAGCAAACATCTGACAAACATATTTTAGTTCATTTTTTTTTTTTAAATAAAGTAGCCTTTCTTTGCCCTTAGTTTTTAATTTTTGTTCCGAACATACCCCAGGGGGACATGAATATAAACAGAAAGGTCACATATATATTCTACAGTGCCAATAGCAATTCATTTCAACTTGTCATTCAATTTTCAATTTTATGTAGCATGTATAAAAAATGTTTTTGACAGTTTTGCTCAGTCAGGAAATGTTTGGCAGCATGACTTGACTACTGCAAAGTGTATTAAAAATAATTTGATAAAGACAAAATTACAGTGATCACAAAGTAATGGGATAAGTGTTCTCATTAGCATGTTTCTGGACAGAATACATTTAATAGAAGCAAGAACAGTCATAACGAAGTGACCAACTTAGGATCACTATTTCCATTATCACATACAAAATGAGATACATAACCTAAACTCAGGAATACTGTCTACATTAATTGTAGTCCTATAACCTGTATTTTATACGTGCCCATGCATATCTTAAAATATCAAGTCCTACATCACTCTGCAGTCTTTAAAAGTTACTCACCACTGCAAACCTAAAGTGTCACCGTTATGGGGTAATTTTCAACTCACTAGAGTTAAGTTTTCACTTGGCAATGGCTAGTGACAAGTAAAAATGCCCTATTGGAAAGCATTGGAGTGGCTGAGATAATTAATGATGTAAGCCAAGGAGGTGGAGCAGGGGCAGTGCCAGCACACCCGCGTGGTACTGTAATACAGGTGAGTTTAAACAACTTTTAAGGGGGGTATGGGGTTGCCACAGGACTAAACTGCATTTTTACCATGATAGGGTCAGGGATGCACATTTGTTCCTTTAATAAAGCAGTTTTGGTGTATCGATCATGCCACTGAGGTCTCACTGCTCAATTCCCTGCCATTTAGGATTTAAATCATTTTGTTTATACAGCTCAAATCACACCTCCCCTGTCTGTGACTGACACAACCTGCATAAAAACAAAATGGTTTTATTTTTAATCAGATCTTAATTTGCTTTAGACATTTTTATATCCTGCTCTTTAAATTGAACTTTAATCACAAACAGGAGGCTCCTGCAAGGACTAGGGGGTCTATAAACAGAGCATGAGATAAGTAATTCCAAATTAAACAGACTGTGCAATAATGGAAGTGTAAACATTAAATCTCACTTTACAGGAAGTGTTTAGGAAGGCTGTGCAAGTCACATGCAGGGAGGTGTGACTAGGGCAGTCTAAATGGCAGTGAATTGAGCAGAAATATTGGAGGGGCATGCTCTAAACATCAAAAGCTAAAGTTGTTTGGTCAATATAGTGCCCTCTTTATGTAATGAATGTACAGCATAATTAATCCCTACACATCACCACTTGACCTTCTGGATTACTTAATAAAAATATGATCTTGAAATGCTCAACAATGCCAAGCTGTATCAAGGAAAGCATGATGGATCTGTAAACCCTACACCAGCCATTATCACTTCAATGTAATGATATATTAGGATATATTTACTAACAGTACCTCTTTCACCCAAATGATAACCTTTTTACAAAGTAATATTATTATTTGCTTATTTAATACAGAATCGAT